GGGGGAAGGTTCTTTAACAGTGAAGGGAATTTCACCACTGAGTGAGCTATTCAGAGGTGCCCTAAAGCAATATCAATCATATCAATCTCCCCAAAGCAATTCTATTCCCATATGTTTCCTCTTTTGTAGGTCCCTCTAAAAACTTTTAAGAATGAAGTTTGGTATACATAAAGTTACTTTCCCACCACATATTCACAAGTGTTAAAGACTCATGCTCTACCCCTAGCTACTCTTGACAATGAATTGCATGCAGGAGCAACAAGAGGTTTGCATGAAAAGTCACAATCCCATGGGTCTTAAAGATCTCTGGTGACAAGCAAGATCCATATGAAAGTTGGCATTGACGAGGCAAGCATCATATCTATAGAACCTGGGTGACTTAATGCAAACTTGTAAGACCTCACAACCATGTCATAGACTCATAGAACCCTAAGGCTGGAAGAGACCTCAGGAGGTCATCGAGTCCAGCCCACTGTCCAAAGCAGAACCAATCCCAATTAAATCATCCCATCCAGGGCTTTGTCAAGCTGGGACTTAAAAACCTCTAGGGATGGAGATTCCACCACCTCCCTAGGTAACCCATCCCAGTACTTCACCACCCTCCTAGTGAAATAGTTTTTCCTAATATCCAACGTAGACCTTCCCCACTGTAACTTAACACCACTGCTCCTTGTTCTGCCATCTGTCACTACTGAGAACAGTCTCTCTCCATCCTCTTTGGAACCTCCCTTCAGAAAGTTGAAGGCTGCTATCAAATCTCCCCTCACTCTTCTCTTCTGCAGACTAAATAAGCCCAACTCCCTCAGCCTCTCCTCGTAGGTCATATGCTCCAGCCCCTTAATCATTTTGGTTGCCCTCTGCTGGACCCTCTCCAATGCGTCCACATCCTTTTTATAGTGGGGGGCCCAGAACTGGACGCAATACTCCAGTGTTGGCCTCACCAGAGCCGAATAAAGGGGAATAACAACTTCTCTAGATCTGCTGGCAATGCTCCTCCTAATGCACCCTAATATGCCATTAGCTTTCTTGGCTACAAGGGCACACTGTTGACTCATATCCAGCTTCTCATCCACTGTAACCCCCAGGTCGTTTTCTGCTGCATTCCTACTTAGCCAGTTGGTCTCCAGCATGTAACAATACTTGGGATTCTTCCATCCCAAGTGCAGGACTCTACACATGTCCTTGTCAAACCTCAACATAAGAGCTCAGATGGGAAAATGATGAACGCATACAATAAAACAACATCATCACAAAAGGTCCAGCTTGTACTCTTGGAGGAATTCTGCACCAGCTCTGGCAAAGGCTAAGGAAAGGGCAAGGTTGTACCACACTGTATCCCCTGGTGGGAAATTAAAGAAACTGAGGGTGTATCTAGACTACAGAGTTTTTTCAAAAAAAAGTGGCCTTTAATGACACTTAAATGTCTTTTGAAGAACAAACTCCTCTATTTTCTTCTGTACATGTTGTTCAGGGTTAGGGTTTCTCCCTCTCCCCCCACCGTCAGCTCCATACTGACAAGGCAGCATGTGACTGGGGAACAGCTGACAGACCCAGATGCCATCATTCATTTGTGTGCATTGCCTGGGTACTTTTTTTCCTTCTCTTAAGTCTGTTTTCCATACCCCACCGAAAGGCTGCACATCAGACCTCAGCTCAATGAAAAACAAGAGCCTAATGTCTAGATAGAAATACATCACCACATCAGGTCATTTACAGGTCATCCAAGCTGTTTTATTGTTCTCTCCTTTTCCAACCAACTTGAATCTTTTAAGATATTCTAAAAACAGAAAATCAAAATGCCTCTATCAACCAGTTCACTTTCTAGGCAGGAAAAGCCTTTAAAGAACCCTTCCCTGAGCGTAAGTGTGTATGTGCAAGGAACTGACTTGAAATCTGGCTTTGTGTGTGTATCGGCTCCCCCCTGCCCCCCTCCCCCTTCCCTCTGCTGCCTCTCTATCAGAGGAAGCAGCATGGGTGTGGGGAAAGCAGGCAGTTATATGGGATCTGGTGCTCCCCTCCTTTGCTGCCTCTGATACAGAGGCAACAAGGGCAAGGGGGGGGGGGGAAATGTGTGTAGCCTTTAGGATTAACGGACAAGCCCAGGTTTATTAATTAATCATTTAGATGACTATGCTAACATCCCTAATCCACAGATATAGAATCATAGAATACTAGGACTGGAAGGGACCTCAAGAGGTCATCAAGTCCAGACCCCTGCCCTCATGGCAGGACCAAATACTGTCTAGACCATCCCTGATAGACATTTATCTAACCTTCTCTTAAATATCTCCAGAGATGGGGATTCCACAACCTCCCTGGGCAATTTATTCCAGTGTTTAGTCCATAGCTCATACTTTGAAGGGAAGCAAGTTTCTCTTACAAACGATGGGTCAAAAATAGGAGCCCTTGTCCAGTCTGAATGTGGTGACCTTGCGGAATCCACTACAATGAAATCTCCAGCAGCATCCACTGATTTTGCTGATGCTATAACAGAACTGGAGGATGCTTTTTCAAGGCAGGTCAAATCTCTTGCAGAATCAATTGACGATGCACTAAATTGCCGTAGTCTACATTCTGATGAAGTCCAGACTCCGGATCAAATCAGAAGTCGTGAAATGGAGAGGGATAGTTGTAGTCAAATCAAGCCAGCAATCCATAATGTGGATCACAGGAAACTTGATGAGATGACTGCATCATATAGTGATGTTACATTATATATTGATGAGGAAGAGCTATCTCCACCCCTTCCCCTTTCCCAATCAGTGGACAGACCGTCTAGCACGGAATCTGACTTGAGGCTTCGGTCAATGAACTCTTCTCAAGAGTACTGGTCCATGACCCATAAGGATGATAAGATAGACACTGATACAAGTTGCAGGAGCACCCCTTCACTGGAATGCCAGGAACAAAGGATGAGAATGGATCATCTGCCATTGCTAACGATAGAACCACCTAGTGACAGTTCAGTGGACTTAAGTGATCGCTCAGAAAGAGGCTCATTAAAGAGACAAAATGCATATGACCGAGGAATCACTAGTCAGCAAGGAAGCCCAAAACATATCCCACATGGTATTCCCACCAAGATTATATCCCGAGAAGAACAGGAGGCTAGACACAAGCCAAGGCCCATTGATAGTCACTTAGCTATTAATGGCACTGCAAACAGGCAAAGCAAATCAGAGTCTGATTATTCTGATGGTGATAATGACAGCATCAATAGCACTTCCAATTCTAATGATACAATAAATTGCAGCTCAGAGTCCTCTTCTAGAGACAGCCTAAGGGAACAAACCTTAAGCAAACAAACATACCATAAAGAAACTCGTAACAGCTGGGATTCGCCTGCCTTCAGTAATGATGTTATCAGAAAACGCCATTATAGGATTGGACTGAACCTTTTTAATAAGTAAGTACAAAGCTTTTCTGTCCCCCGCCCCCCCTTGTTCCCGCCCTCCCGCGCGCGCACACACTATTTGGTAATATTTCAGTCCCTCAAATGAAGATATACATAACTCCAGAACCAGAGGATGAATAAAATTGATATGTGATACTGGTTTATCAGCCAAAACACAACCCCCCAGATCCTCCATTGGAGAAATTAAGTAAGAAGTGAAAAGAAAGCAATATATGAGATCCCTGCATAAGTAAGCTCAGAGAGCTGATAGGTAAGGTCCCATGGGAATCAAGACTGAGGGGTAAAACAGCTGAGGAGAGTTGGCAGTTTTTCAAAGGGACATTATTAAGGGCCCAAAAGCAAGCAATTCTGCGGTGTCAGAAAGATAGAAAATATGGCAAAAGACCGCCTTGGCTTAACTATGCCTTGGCTTATTCTAAAAATAAAAAAGGAATCCTATAAAAAATGGAAAGTAGGACAAATTACAAAGGATGAATATAGGCAAACCACACAGGAATTCAGGGGCAAGATTAGAAAGGCAAAGGCACAAAATGAGCTCAAATTAGTTACGGGAATAAAGGGAAACAAGAAGACTTTTTATAAATATATTAGAAGCAAGAGGAAGACCAAGGACAGGGTAGGCCCACTGGTCAGTGAGGAGGGCGAAACAGTAACAGGAAACTTGGAAATAGCAGAGATGCTTAATGACTTATTTGTTTCGGTCTTCACCGAGAAGTCTGAAGGAATGCCTGACATAGTGGCTGCGTCTAGACTGGCATGATTTTCCGCAAATGCTTTTAACGGAAAAGTTTTTCCGTTAAAAGCATTTGCGGAAAATCATGCCAGTCTAGACGCAGCCACTATGTCAGGCATTCCTTCAGACTTCTCGGTGAAGACCGAAACAAATAAGTCATTAAGCATCTCTGCTATTTCCAAGTTTCCTGTTACTGTTTCGCCCTCCTCACTGACCAGTGGGCCTACCCTGTCCTTGGTCTTCCTCTTGCTTCTAATATATTTATAAAAAGTCTTCTTGTTTCCCTTTATTCCCGTAACTAATTTGAGCTCATTTTGTGCCTTTGCCTTTCTAATCTTGCCCCTGAATTCCTGTGTGGTTTGCCTATATTCATCCTTTGTAATTTGTCCTACTTTCCATTTTTTATAGGATTCCTTTTTTATTTTTAGAATAAGCCAAGGCATAGTTAAGCCAAGGCGGTCTTTTGCCATATTTTCTATCTTTCTGACACCGCAGAATTGCTTGCTTTTGGGCCCTTAATAATGTCCCTTTGAAAAACTGCCAACTCTCCTCAGCTGTTTTACCCCTCAGTCTTGATTCCCATGGGACCTTACCTATCAGCTCTCTGAGCTTACTTATGCAGGGATCTCATATATTGCTTTCTTTTCACTTCTTACTTAATTTCTCCAATGGAGGATCTGGGGGGTTGTGTTTTGGCTGATAAACCAGTATCACATATCAATTTTATTCATCCTCTGGTTCTGGAGTTATGTATATCTTCATTTGAGGGACTGAAATATTACCAAATAGTGTGTGCGCGCGCGGGAGGGCGGGAACAAGGGGGGGCGGGGGACAGAAAAGCTTTGTACTTACTTATTAAAAAGGTTCAGTCCAATCCTATAATGGCGTTTTCTGATAACATCATTACTGAAGGCAGGCGAATCCCAGCTGTTACGAGTTTCTTTATGGTATGTTTGTTTGCTTAAGGTTTGTTCCCTTAGGCTGTCTCTAGAAGAGGACTCTGAGCTGCAATTTATTGTATCATTAGAATTGGAAGTGCTATTGATGCTGTCATTATCACCATCAGAATAATCAGACTCTGATTTGCTTTGCCTGTTTGCAGTGCCATTAATAGCTAAGTGACTATCAATGGGCCTTGGCTTGTGTCTAGCCTCCTGTTCTTCTCGGGATATAATCTTGGTGGGAATACCATGTGGGATATGTTTTGGGCTTCCTTGCTGACTAGTGATTCCTCGGTCATATGCATTTTGTCTCTTTAATGAGCCTCTTTCTGAGCGATCACTTAAGTCCACTGAACTGTCACTAGGTGGTTCTATCGTTAGCAATGGCAGATGATCCATTCTCATCCTTTGTTCCTGGCATTCCAGTGAAGGGGTGCTCCTGCAACTTGTATCAGTGTCTATCTTATCATCCTTATGGGTCATGGACCAGTACTCTTGAGAAGAGTTCATTGACCGAAGCCTCAAGTCAGATTCCGTGCTAGACGGTCTGTCCACTGATTGGGAAAGGGGAAGGGGTGGAGATAGCTCTTCCTCATCAATATATAATGTAACATCACTATATGATGCAGTCATCTCATCAAGTTTCCTGTGATCCACATTATGGATTGCTGGCTTGATTTGACTACAACTATCCCTCTCCATTTCACGACTTCTGATTTGATCCGGAGTCTGGACTTCATCAGAATGTAGACTACGGCAATTTAGTGCATCGTCAATTGATTCTGCAAGAGATTTGACCTGCCTTGAAAAAGCATCCTCCAGTTCTGTTATAGCATCAGCAAAATCAGTGGATGCTGCTGGAGATTTCATTGTAGTGGATTCCGCAAGGTCACCACATTCAGACTGGACAAGGGCTCCTATTTTTGACCCATCGTTTGTAAGAGAAACTTGCTTCCCTTCAAAGTATGAGCTATGGACTTTCTCAGGCCCTTCAAAGGAAAACTGCATTCTCATATTGGACAGCACAATGCGTCTTGACATACGATTTTCAGACATAGAACTTCTAAGCCGCTCAAAATTTTTGTTCATCTGATACTGACGAAAAGCTGTTTGTATGGTACGAGCAGCATGTCTAGTTATGAGACGGCCCCCATATTTCCGTTCTAGCATTTCCACCTAAAACGAAAATAAAAGATTTTATTCAACATGCAAAAAATTGAAAACAGAATTTTACTTCTAAATATTTTTTTTACTAATTTTTGACTTAAAGCTGTTCAACTTCTACCTCAATTTTCTCACTAGTAAAGCAGCAATAATACTGATTTATCTACTTCACAGGGTTTCTGCGAGGATGTTGGTAAAATGATCTGAAAATGTTTTATTATTATGACCTGGTATTATCATAAATGATCTATTCCTATCAAATATATTTCCTACTATATCCATTAATAGATAAACATACAAATTAACATATATAATTTAAAGGGGGAGGGGGCTATTCAGTTGCACTAATCTCAAAATACCACATGAATAATTCATGATTTTACTGTTTAAAAAACTACTAGTATCAATTCAAAAGGAACAGTAAAATTAAAGCTGACATTTCCAAAACTATATTTCCAAAGAGCTAGCAAGGATTTTTTTCCTTAAAAATCCTAAGGTTATCCTTTAGCGACACTAACACATGAAATATACCAAGATAAACTTGCATTTGTTGAGTCCAAATACTTTTCAAGCAAAGGGGATTGGTGGTGGGGAATCACATGATTGTGATGGGGGGGTCCCCAGCAGACCAGGGACACCCCGAGCAAAGCCGCAGGTCAGTCTAGAGCTCTATACAAGGGGTGGGCTAAAGCCTCTCTGCGGGCCGCATTCAGCCCGTCTAGGGCTTTGATCCAGCCCACGAGGTAGTTTCAGGCCCCACCCCCTAGCTCATTGCCTCAGAGCAGGAAAGGGGCCCAAGACCTTCAAACTGCTTCTATTTCAAGGGCTCACGTATTCCCCGCCCCTTGCCTAGCAGTTGTGGGGAAGGCACAAGCCCTTTAAATAGAAACAGCTGAGAGGGCTCGCAGCTCCCTGCGCCTCTAGCGTGTTGCCAGACCGTGATCCCATTCAGCTGTTTCTATTTAAAGGGCTTGTACCTTCCCCAGGCATATTGCCTAGCAGCCAGGGGAACAGGAGAGCCCTTTAAATAGAAACAGCTCAAAGGGATCCTGCGTCTCCCGCAATGCACCAGAGGCGAGGGGAGCTGCGAGCCCTTTCAGCTGTGTCTATTTAAAGGGCTCTTGTGTTCCCCAGCTGCTAGGCATAGGGAAGGTGCCAGCCCTTTACATAAAAGCACTTAAAGGGCTCACAGCTCCCCCAGCCTCTAATGAGTTGTTAGGAAGCCAGAAATGTGAGCCCTTTCAACTGCTTCTATTTAAAGGGCTCGCCTGCTGGGTGGCACCCGCAGGCGCAAGCCCTTTAAATAGAAGCAACTGAAAGGGCTCACAGCTCGGCCCCACTGGCCTGCTGTCTGGGAACTTCCGGGAGGCATGAGCCCTTTCAACTGCTTCTCTTCAAAGGGCTTGTGCCTGCCGGGCAGCTGCCAGGCAACAGGTTAGAAGTGGGAGGCATGGCTTTGTTCTCTCCTTTCACATATGTGGTGGACAATACTCCAAGTGACCTCCAAATGCAGCTTATTGACTTGCAGAGTGATGCCTTGCTTGCGGAGCAATTCAAATCCATGCCACTTCTGGAATTTTATGCATCTCTCAATGAACAAAGCTCTCCGAAGGTCACGGCTCATGCCCAAAAGACGGTTGTATTGTTCGGACCAACTTACACCTGTGAGCAGACAGTTTCTGTGATGAAATTCAATAAACCAAAGAACAGCTCTTCTATCACTGATGACCACCTTGCAGTAGTGCTCCGCATTGCAACATCAGAAATAACCCCTGACCTCACATCCTTTGTTAATGCCCAACACAGACTTTCTTCTTCACACTGAGTTGCTTTTTTTTTTTTTTACACACACTTAAATTGAATGCACATAAGTCGCATTAAACTCAGGTGGGCAGTAAGTCGGATGTGGCTTCTGCCAGTGCTTATCAACCTGTGTCTCTGCAGATATGGCCATTTAAAGCTCCTGGTGGCTGTGGATCACCATTCCTAACCCATGTGAGCTGTAGGAGGTGGTGTCCCAATTCACGCAGTGCCCGTTGGCTGGAGATGGTGCTCCATGGTGAATGGGAGGTCCAAGCGGCTGTTCCAGAGGAGGTGCATGTAAATAAAGCATTGGTGGCCTGCTGAGGCTAACCCTGGTGAACGTGTCCATTCTGCGGGTCAGATATTGCCCACCACTGATGTAACTAAAAGTTTAGTGTTAGTGTTGTTGTTATTACAAATGCTACACGTGTTCTCAGAATGTTAGAGTTGCCCTCTATGATAATCTTTGGATAATGTTGTATGCTGTTAATTATTTTTAAAAATAATTAAATTGTTATGTAAAAAACATATTGGTGTCTTTATACAGCACATGGACTGTCCCTTCCGGAACGGCCCCCGGACACTTCTCAAATTTATGAAGTGGCCCCCCTTCAAAAATTATTGCCCACCCCTGCACTATACAGATCCTTTGTGCAGATGAGTGCCAGGGATGCCAGGCCATGCAAAAAGGCTATCAATATGTGGCTAAATACTGTGAGCAGCTCACTCTCCCGTCTCCGTACACCTTTACATGTTTTTTATGTGTTTCACAGATCTATGAATCACTACCTAGAAAATTGTTCAGTTGACGAAGCATGCACCAGAATCTGCCATTGAATTTCACTGCTACAAATACCTTCTATGACTTTAAAGTGAGCTAGAACACCGTATTTAATTGATTGTGACCATTGTTAAATTAAAAAATCTTGTCTATTCCAGTACTAATACATTAATCTCTGGTATCTAAAGTTGTAATCCAGAAATGTACTGTATAAACACATAATCTTTTGAAGGCACCTCTCTTGGAGTGTGCATACTGTGCCATTTTTATTACAGAGCTTAATTATAGTCCCATCTAGAATATCTTACCTTTTAGATAATATTCTTGTATTTTTTCAGCTGATCACAGCTGTCAAAGCAAATATTAAAACACACCAAAATATGACTTAGAACATGGCCCACGGTAAACAGAAACTACATGTACTGGTGTATTGGTTGTTACACACTTTCAGTTAAGGAAACTAAAAGCATTCACCTACTTTAAATTGTTAAATCATTGGATCAAAAATGACACACTGGATAGAACATGGAAAGTAACATATTCCAAATAAGTTTATTGTCAAGATTAATTTTAAATATCACATCTGAGATTTCACACATTTAGAAAAGAAGAAAAAAGGTCTTTTTAGTGAAATATCCTGAAGTCAACCTCTATTCAGGTTTTAGTGAAGTCAAATGGAGTGTTGCCTGACAGAGAAAAAAAACGAATGAACAACTCAAGATTTGGCACTTCCAATTTAGTGTGTCTGTGGAGGAAACTGTCTTTTTCTTTCTTTCACGAGCATTAAAGCCATTCCAAGTTTAAAACTGCAAATTTTATTCAGGAAAAAAACTCATGGTTTCATGCTGTGAACAAAATATAAGCCACCTGCATGAAATCATAACCACTGGGAGCATGAAGTTTTCACTTTAGAAGAAAAAATCCGTATTTGTTTTTAAATGTAATTTTGGCTGTTGCCTCAGTGAGCCAAAGAAAAAGCAGAGCGAAAAGGATGCAATTTTAATAATATTCAACTATGCAAGCTATAAATTAACTTGGATTTGGAAAAAGAAAATGTGTCATTTTCAACTTCACAAAAGCATGTTTTTGTTGGCAAACAGACTCTTTTGCCTTATTCGTAAATAAAGATAGCTCAAATACCTGCTTATCTTGTAGATCTGAGGAGAGTTCATAGCTCTCAGAAAGTGATCTTGACCTTTTAATAGCTTCCTCCTCTGCTTGTTTTCGCAGTATTGATGTTGAGTGCTGAAGCTTAGGCCTCCGAGATCTTTGCTGCCCAGGGGAGACAGAATACAGCCCGTAAGCAGAATGGTCGTAATGGTCTGGGCTTAGCGCCGAACTATGGGTTATAGGTCCTTGATGGTAAGTAGATGGACTATCCAAAGATGTGCCAGTTTCACTATTTGGAGCTTCGCCTTCAACACTAGATAAACAAATGTTGAGTGCTGAAGCTTAGGCCTCCGAGATCTTTGCTGCCCAGGGGAGACAGAATACAGCCCGTAAGCAGAATGGTCGTAATGGTCTGGGCTTAGCGCCGAACTATGGGTTATAGGTCCTTGATGGTAAGTAGATGGACTATCCAAAGATGTGCCAGTTTCACTATTTGGAGCTTCGCCTTCAACACTAGATAAACAAAGAAGGGGGGGGGGGGGGGAAGAGAACCTCTAGTAAGTATTAAACATCAAAAATCATAGCAGTTATAACTCATAAATAGAGTTTTACCGAGCTTCAGATTATCCAGACTTAATTCACTATTTGTTAAAATTCACGTTTTGTTATTGATTTTGTAGGGTCATGTAGGTGACAGTTTAGCTACCACAAATTTCCTTAAGCACATTTCTCTTTCTGCTGCAGAGCTCTTTTGAGGCAGCAAAAGTGAAATTTCCTGTTTTAATTTTATGTACCAATTTTTAGTAACATTCTGAAAAATTCACTTGACTATATATAAGCAAAAAAATATTTCCAAAAGGAGTTTCTCACATTTATTTCTACATCAGTTCACTGCAAAACCACAAATGTATTTTCATATTTTGTCATGTAGACCAAAGTGTAAGAAATAAGGTCACATCTTTAAGTTTCAATGCAGCATTAAAAAAATTATTTTCCCTCTTACCCAAAATAAATTTTGAATTCTCTGTGGCCTATTAAGTATAATGCATTCGTAGAATTTAAAGATGGAGAAAAAAAGATCTATGAAGGCAAGCTAATTTCTCTGCCAGCACAGGATTATTCCAACACTATACTTTGTTGAACTTTGTCCAATCCATCCAATCCCAAGAGATGGATTCTTTCCATTTGTGTTAGAAAACTTTGACAGTACAGAATGCCATATGTCTTTTTCATGCAGTTCAAATCAAACACTGACAGATTTCTAATTTATGTATCCTGCTTACATATAATGTTAATATGAAATGCATTTTCATTTACACTGGTTTTCCAAAGCCTCAGCAACACTCCCTTCTGCAGGTGCACACAAAATCACACTTTTCCTACCTACCTTTTGTTTTAAAAACCAGACACATTAGGATTCTCAAGAAACAAAATTTCATGTACACTCATCCTGGCTTACACTCATCCATGACTTTCATACAGCTCACACACAAAAACATAAAAAAAGCTCTTATGTTGTTTCTTAGAAATGAAATGCCATGGCCCCTGTTGGACACACACCACAGCAGCTCTTTCAGCAGTTCAAAGTACAGAGTGATTTCTGAAAGAACATTCTCCAGTGGATTGCACTGCCAGAACAGATCAAGGTTAACACTGTCAAAACTCTTCTGGGTTGAACAGTGTGTACTTGTGTAAGTGGGGGAAAAAAGGCTCTTAGATTACTCAAAATGTTTCTACAAACATTTAAAACTGAAAGCAATTTCTCTTTCCTTGCCCATCAAAATGTGACTCTCCCAAATAAGGTGTTTTTAAGCAAACAAACTGGAAAGATTTCTGTCTAAACACCAATCACTTTTTCCAAAAAGGAAGCTGACAGGAAACTAAATCCCTTTCCCTTAAAATACAGCTGCTTTCAATTTAAAAAAGTTTAATTATTTCAACTTTAGTAACTGACATTGAAAACATGAAGCCATGCATTAAAAAAAAAAAAAATCTTACATTTTCCATCTTAATAAATTCCATTGAGGATTTTCTTACCAAACTGCATCATACTGCCTCTTTCAGCACTAAGAAGTATTTTTCCAGTAAGGGTTGAATTTTTAGGCTGAATTTGTTTGTACCTAGTAAGTTCTTAATTAAAATCTACCCATGTAAGTAGTTTCAGTACAAGCACATTAACTTTGTTTTATTCTCCAATTATGACAAGCGATGCAAGAATATCACAAGGTTTTAATATTTTTCCTTTCTGAGCTCTGATGGCATATTTTCTGTCCTCTTCCCCTCTTAAATTATAAAATGTTTAATAATCCTTCTACTCTGATGATTACCACACTGACATTTTAATAATGATTCCGTCAGTGCATGGCTTCTTAATGATCTTTAATGCCATTAATAAAAAGTTGCAGTACTGCTTTGAATGACTTCTTTTCCAGGACCAAAGCACTGATTTTCCGAAATGCTTTCGGTTTCTCTCTTTATACTTTAGTTTATTTTTTTTCCAGTACTGAATGCAGACCCTGAATGGTTGGCATGGCTAATTTCATTTTGGTCATAAACTCACTCGCTGCTACCACGTGCCTGACCTTTGAAGCAACAGGGCAGTACAACAGGCAGCCTTCTTGCACAATGTCTGACTTTTCAAGTAAGCAAGTCAGATCTACACATTTGAATGATTTCTTCTTCCCCACCTTCCTTCCCCACTAGAGCAAGGGGCTGTGTATGTGTGTGTACACGCGCAGAAGTGAGAACAGAATAAAAAATAAAAACCCAACTATAAAAATAAATAAACCTCCCTTTCCTTATTAAAAATGTCATTCAACACAAGTATGAACATTTTAATAAATGTGATGTGTGTGTGGAACTAAAGACAGCAGAAATCATTTTCTTCAAACTGATTGGGGTGCATACTGCCCCATCATATAATGGATTTAACAGACCTTTCCCTTTAGGAGAGTAGGCCTAATTTCCCAACAGAAACGGGCTGATGAGGACAATGATACTCCTGACAATGCTTATACTAAAACAGGGGCTCTCAACCTTGCTAGACTTCCAGAAGTCTGCTTTCCTTCCTAATCTCCAAGTCACAGCTCACTTAGGGCACGTCTACACTGTAAGGCAAAAACTGAATTAAGATACATAACTTCAGCTACGTCAATTGCGCAGCTGAAGTCGAAATAGCTTAATTCGGCTTTTGGCGCTGTCTACACAGCAGCAAGGAGAGGGAAGAACACTCTTATTCCCCGTGAAATGAGGGTTACAGAAGTTGGAGTAAGAAGTCCTCCATCTTGACTCCCCACTCTCCCGGGCTCACAGCTGAGAAAGAGAAATGGCTGCAGCAGGCACTTTTGTGAGCAGTGTGTTCATGGGAGGAAGGGGGTGGGTGGGAGGGAGGCAGGGAGTCTTTGTGAGGCTCCCCACTGCGTACCCGGTCTGGATCCTGTGGCTTGGTGGGCCAGATCCGGCCCCCAGGCCATATTTTGCTCAGCCCTAAACTACAAGCAAAATACAGTGAGTGCCTCAGAGAAGTTCACAGTAACGAGTGAGAACATTATGCCTCCAAGGCACAACTGGGTCAAGGAAAAGCCTTATTATGATAGGTGAATCCTAATGGGGGACTTCCCACATATCTTAACTTTATCCAATTCAGTTGTGCCTCTACTGTTTATATTTCCTGATATTCCAAAATTATAGGAAGATATTCTTCAGGGCATATCTCTCTTTGGGGAGACTTTGGACTTGATGGACTGGTTCTTCTCTCCATGACACTCAGATGATACATTAGGGGTTTCAGTTTCAATGGATTCACTACGGCAATCATAAAACGAAAGAGAATGAAGTAGCATAGGGACAGACTGACCGACTGACTCCAAGGATACTGTATCATTCCAGTCTCAATATAAGAGTGTAATTGAGTTGTGATACAAGCCAAGAAGAGGAAAAGGCTGGTAGCCAGCACCATACAGAAGGAGTGAATGAAGTGTACAGACTGAAAGAATGGAAAGGCAGTCTTTGGAATAACTCATCCTATTGACATTATTGATTATGAACACAGCTTTCTACAGGGCCTAGGAAATCCTTTGTAAGAGCCTGTTTGCACCTCTAAGCTTGCTTTTTTCTTCTTCTTCTTTTTTTGAGTCTGAGAAAAGAAGTGGTTTGAACTGGCTCAGTTGACATTAACAAGGCTTGCTATAAAAGAAGCCTGCAGAGACCATATACTGTATTAGATTTTAATTGCACCAAGGCAAAGAAGGCAGTAAAAAAAGGGACAAGAAGATGGGGGAGAAGAAAGGAATGGAAATATGAAGGAACAGACTAGATATAGTTTTTAAACTGTTTTTACCTCTCACAGATATTTAAGATTATAGGTAAAAATCAATCTTTCAAAATAACCTGTTTTTCTCCAAAGACTAAAAACTGCTGTGGAAACACAGATGGGTTTGGAGGTTTTTCTTCTTCCACCAAAAGGGCATGTCTGGATTTCTTGCAATAGCTTCTCATCAACTAATACACATTGGCATATGCACATTCTAAAAAATGAAAATACATCAATAGAAGCGACATAGGCGAAAGAACACAAGTAGGATCTGTTCATCTCATCAGCAGAGCCACAAGACAGGGGTCAGGCCTGCAATGCAGCTAACACTGCATTGCCTGGGATGCACACTGAGTTCTAACAGCTTCAGAATCAAAGCTGACTGCTCTGTTCCTATTGAAGAATGATGCCAAAATGAGACCCTGACTGCCAAAAGCTGATTTTCTAATTTATTTATCAGGATGTCAAGGATGCATAGGCTGAACTATCCAGGCACACACGAAGCCAAACTAGTATACTATGGTTGTTGTTTCTCCAAAATCTTTTCTTAAGATTAGGATGGCAGAAGTCACCTGGGATTCCTTATTAGACCCAAACAAAAATGAAAGACCCAAGACACAGTTGTACACTCAGCTTATCTAGGCCGTCATTCAGCCTTCACTTGGAGAGGGTGTGGTCTAGTGGTTAGGGGACATGGTCTAGTGGATAGGGACTTTTGGGTTCCAGACATGGCCTTGTCACTGTGTGTGTGTGTGTGTGTGTGTTGTGTGTGTGTGTGTGTGTGTGTGTGTGTGTGTGTGTGTGTGTGTGTGTGTGTGTGTGTGTGTGTGTGTGTGTGTGCGCGCGCGCGCGCGCTTCTAGGCAAATTGCTTTCCTTCCATGTGGCTCAGTTTACACCTGATTGCCTCAAATAATACTTTCGATCATCAAAGACTTGTGAGGTTTAATCAATGTTTTTTAAAAAACCTAAATATTTTTAAACAAGGGACCATCATACTTAATATTACTGATAGGGCCATAGATTTCTTTCATTTGCACCATCACATTTTCCTTTCCTTTAACAATCTTACCCACCTCTAGCTTGCCACTAGACAAAGGCAATTAAAAAAATGTAAAAACTTCTTCCACATTTAGCCAAAATATGGAGTCTGAGGGCTGCCCCAAAATTTTAGGAAGGCAAAAAAGTCAACCTTGTGCTTTC